TAATAAAATATAATTATAGAAAAAAAATTCATTAGAAAAATGTTATCAAATGCATTCTTGTTTAATCTATCAACTGAGGTTCCTGCATAAACTCATCTTTTGTATTTTATTAAAAAAGTATTTGCGATGAATAAATAATTGAATAAGTAAAATGCAAAAAAAAAAATAGTTATTATTGTTGTTATGGACCCTCCAGTAAGAATCAATAAATAGCTGACCTTCCAGCAGGAATTCAGAGGCAGTGAGTTGCATGGGAGGATACTGCCCATCTTTCTCCACAGAGAAGCTGTGTTTGGCAGCACAACCCCTTATTACTAAGTCACCAGAGAGCCTTAGTTATCTTTAGTTAGTGGAATTTAGAAAGTAATTGTTCTTTGTTAATTTATATAATGGAAGATATTGCTTCTATAATCATCTTATAAACTCTCCCACTTGACTCTGTATCGTATTCATTTTTCCACCAGAAATATAAGCCCTATAACAATGGGACTTCCAATCAAAAGTGGCATTATATTGAAAATAGGAAAGCCTTTATGGCCTTTCACAGCACAGAGCTGAACAAGAAAATCACTGCAGCAAATTATGCTGGTGTTTGTACATCTTCTGTGATTAAAGAAGAGAACATTGACCAACCGGTAAGTGATTCTTCCCTCCCCAAAAGAAAAGGAATACAATGGAATATAGTCAGAACATTATAAAGCATTTTTTAAAAAAATTTAGAAAGTTTTGTGTTAATAGAGATTGAACAATATTTTTTTAATTCATTCACTTAGACTGTGAATCTTGTTAGGAAAAAAATGAAGGAAATGTTGATTTTATTCCATGCTTTTTATGTTTTCAGCTGTTTTCCACCACTGGCACAACCTTTGGTCCGACAGTTCACCAGAACACACATGAGGTGACATCTCACACATGCCACGCTTCCACAAGTGTGCTTTTTTATGTATGTGCTTGCATCACATTTCCTAACATGACATTGACTAAAACAAGTTACATGCTCTATCACAGGTTCAAGAAAAAAGAAAGATACTCCAATTCCTGATGGCAGAAACAGTCAAAGTCACATTTCAAATGAGCGTGCAAACAGGGACGGGAGGGTTTTATTGTGATCCTTGCAAATAAGCTATCACACTTTCTCATGGCCAATTTTCAGATTTAGAAATCAGTGCTAATTTACTTCCATTTATCTCCATGAGCTAGGATTTTATGTATGTATGTATGTATGTATCATTATGAACTGATGACATCTTTCTTGCCCTGCTGGTGTATTTTTTAATTATTATTCTTCCTGTGATCCTAAATTATCCTATTTCATCTTGACCTCTATGTCTTTTATACATGCTTCCTTTACTCCTGAATAACTTCTTTTCATTCCAGATGTAAGAAGATGTCTCAGGCTTATAGTGTATATTCCCTGTCCCAAATGTGAGCTCTGCCATTACTTCAAGAAAGCTTGCTTCTAGACTTAAGCCAGACTATTCCAAGGCCTGATTATTTCCAGTCTGCAGTCTTTTTTGTTGCTAGATCTTGTAAATATGTTATTGAGGTGTGGGGAGGAAGGTAAATATTATAAATAGGAAAGGAAACAATGCATTCCTACTGATATTGTAAGTTTTGCTTCTTGAGGTGGTGAAAGTGCTGTGTGAAAATATTGTGTAGAAAAAAGTTGACAAAAGAACAGTACAGCGATTGCAACTAGCAGATAGGAACAAGAAATGTATAAATGTTCAAATGGGGAAGGGAAAGGGAAGAAGAAGGACAGAATAAGAAGGAGGAGAAAATAGGAACTATATAAAACAGAATGTATACGAATGACACAAACACAGTAAGCATTAATTTAAAAGGCATTGATAAATCATACTTATATAAAACACAATGTATATAAATGAATGTATAAAACAGTGTAAAGGAATGAAAAAGTCATTCCTCAATAGCAATTATGTAAAAAAATACTGTGCAAATGTATACCTAAAAAACCTTTTTGTGTTCCATTTTAGGGCTATTATTATCTCTCACCTGGTGGAAAGAGAACAATAATGCTCTGCTTGGCTTGTGGACAAGCCAGGAGAGCAAAACAGGGACTGAAGCAGCTGCTACCTGGGACCTCATTCCTCTGTGCCTCTGGCTCACAGACCCAGAAACCCTTCTCACTAGGACCCTTCAAGGCAATCACTGTGGTCAAGGTATGCAAGGATTTGAACTCCGTTAATGCATTTGTGGTAATGGTTTAGAAACTTTGATGCATTCATTATCTGCCTTGCACTCAAGTTCATCTTCATTCACCCAATTCATTTTCTCAGGATGCACCTTTACCATTCTACCTGCATTGATTTCCTTTTCCCTAATGTAATTGAAAATACATTTTCTATTAATAGTTCAATATAGCCTTTGAAGTTAATTGGGCACTTCTGCTGCTTTAATCACCTACTGACACTTTTCACTGTTCTCTGTGTTGCTTTTAGGTGAGGAAATAATGGCAAATCTTTACTAAGTGGAGCAGCTTTTTTTGCCTCTACCCACAGAGTCAACTACTTTTTCACTCGCATGAAACATTTCAGAGAGAATTTGACGTGTTGCTGCTAATGACTGTTCAGGTTGGATGCCCAGATGCACGCATCCATGTCTAATACCACTTATAGCTCCTGGAGAATAAATCTCTACCCTCTTGTGATCGTAATTTAAACTGGCACCATTTTAAGAATCCTTCCCTTCAAGTTTAGAAGTGAGAAAAGGAGCAATTCCTGAAAGGAAAGGAGCTTTCAGAGATAAGTAGCACTTCTCTCTTCTCCTGGTTCGCTTTCACCATTTCTAGAGCATTCCTTTCATGTCCCAGTTCACCTGTTGTAGGCTACAATGAATATGAACTGAAGCCAAAACTCTACAGGAGAAAGGAATCTGGTATATTGAAAAGTGTCTTAGAGAAAGGAACTGCAACCAGAGTGCTCCCTGGAGGCAAGGATGGTGAAACTTCATCTCACATATTTTGGGCATGTTGTTAGGAGGAATAGTCCTTGGAAAAAGGCATTGTGCTTGGATAGGCAGGTGGTTGGCTTACAAGAGGTGAAGCCTCAACAAGATAGATTGCCACAGTGACAGTGGGTTCAAGGATATCAGAGACGATGAGGATGGCCTGAGAGGGCAGAGTTCAGAGCTCTTGTTCATGGGAACACTATCAGTCATAGTCAACATGATGGAACCTAGCAATAACAACAGGGGCATTTGGCTTTCTTTTAAGACTAACCAAGTCCATAGCAGTAAAGCTGGTTATACTTAGAGGCTGTAGATCTTTATGAAGAGAGACCGCCTATCTTTCTCCTACAGAGGAGCTGGTCCATTAAAACTTAGAACCTTTGGCTTGGCAGTGTAACACATAGCACACTGTGTCCCAAAAGCTCCTTGCTTTAGGACTGGAGCAGTGGGGGTTAGGAGGTCGTATGAGATGACTGGAAAGGAGCTTGCATGCGTCAACGTCAGCATCTCAGCACTTTCTCCTTCACAGCAGCATTTGAGGGGAGAGCAAAAGTGAAGCAAGGGATCTCACACTCATCACTCTCTGGTCATTCCGGCTACCCCCATTCCCTGCTGATCTGTCAGTATTTGCCACTACCAAGTGCTGACACCCTAAAGTTAAGAGAATATCTGTGATGTTGGTGTTCCAGTACTTCAACCCCTGGCTTTCTCTGACCCTGCACCTTTCTACCCCAGCTCCTGTCATGAGAAAGTCAAGAGGTCAGGAACTCAAACTGGCACCACAAGTCACCTAGTGATGAGACTGGGAAAGGAATGGCAGATTCTGACCCAGTGTTCTTCCCCTACAGCATGTCATACCATTAGCATATGAAATGAACACTCATAAATATATGTTACATACATTTACTAACATAGTACATATGTTAATAAATGCATGTAACATATATTTGTGAGTGTTCATTTCATATGCTAATGGTATGACATGCTGTAGGGGAAGAACACTGGGTCAGAATCCGCCATTCCTTTCCCAGTCTCATCACTTG